CAACCACCCCCCCCCCTCGGCTGACTGACTATGCGGGTGGGGCGGCATCAGAGAAGGGTTTGCCTGGCCGGCCGGGGGGGGGGGGGGTCGGGGCTGCTTTTACACAGCAGCCGGGTCGGACTTTCAAGGGCTGGATTAGTTTTACGTCCCTCTATCCCCCCCTCCCACCCCGGTGGGACTCGTATGTGTTTGGCAGACGCCCTCCAACAGGGTTCACGTGGTTTTCTGGGCTATGACTAACTCACACCGCAGCTGGGAGAGAGAGAGGTTGCATGGGAGCAATACCCTCAAAGACTGCATATTTAGAATCATCGGGGTGGGTAGCCACGCAGGGCCGGCCTTAGGCCACTTCAACCTATTGCGGTAGCAGTGGGCCCCGCACTTTTTTTTTTCTAAAACAAAATCTTAATGTCCCTTATTATCCTTATCCCTACCCAGACTGGGGCCCCGCGCAATCCGTTTCGGATAGGGCCCCGCAATTGTTAGGGCCGGCCCTGTCGCCACGTTCCCTCGTCTCATATCCATACGGAAACTGTTTTCAACTGCGCTTAGTAGGTTACCATGCAGCCGTGCTCTTTCTAAAGCAGTTCTCGTGGGTTACCTTTGCCTTTCAGCGCAGGTCCCCAACACGGTGACACTGCACCCCTGGGTATGTGGCCAACGCCTCTTTATCGATCGACATGCCATTGTTTTGGGACGGACATGGCGACTAGAGCTCGGGGGCGGGGGGATGACCTGGCAACTAGATAGGGCAGATTGTTAATTATTATGTTATTAAAAAGACAAAAGCAGTTGGCAATTTAATTTTTTTTAAAATAGGCAATTTTTTTTTAACCTCCTTTATTCAGGAAACTTTGATACAAAATAAACACATTTAAAGAAAACACAAACGATTTCGATATAATTATAATAATTGATGAAATGTGCACTGTTTGTATGAACCCGTTAAATTATTAATTAAACAATATAACTCAATTTTTTATTAAGTTTCCATTTTATATAAGGGGTCCTCCATTTATTATGTCAACCAAACATGGGGGGGGGTATGTGTTTGGGTACCGGTACGGTGCACATAAGATATGTAAAAGAATAAGCTAGTCTATCCCTACAACGTTTTTAAAAAAACAAAAACAGCAATTGATTTAAATACGTTTGGATTCTTCAACAACAATGACACGGATTTATATTATTTGACTGAAATCGAATAAATTTAACACTGTTTAATATCAGGGTTCTGCTTCCATGGGCCCACGTTCTGGAACCAGCTCCCCTTCCATATACGTCATAGTGAAACCTCGTCCATTTTCAAAAAGTCCCTTAAAACTCATCTGTTTAGGTCCGCCTATGACCTGTGATGCACCCTCCTTGCCCTACCTAATTTTCTGTTTCGGTTTAATCCTGAAGTGTCAAAGTGTCCTCTTTTTATAGCCATTTTCATTGTTTCTATAGAATAGTAGTTACTATCCTAGTGTCTCATTTGTATTTACTTAGTTTACATGTTTTAATAATTGTAAAGCGCTTAGAGCTTTATGATAAGCGCTATATAAAAATGCCTAAATAAATAAATAAATAAATAAATAAAAATACAAAGTTTGACAGAATATTTAAACCATACAATGGCATAGAAACACAAAGTTTGACAGAATATTTAAATCATACAATGGAATAGAAAGAATCAAAGAAACATGACCACATTCAACCACACATGCGGCAACTCCACTGGCTTCCAATATCCTCTCGCATCAAATACAAGTCTTCCAATCTTTGCTTCAACTCGTTCACTGACCCTCACTTTCCTGTCTATCTCTCTGAACTGTTGCTTCCTTACATCCCCACAAGACAACTACGTTCTTCCATTGACAGTAGAACCCTCTCAATCCCAAGAACTAAAACTAAGACCATCGGTGAACGCTCCTTCTGCTTCCATGGGCCCACGTTCTGGAACCAGCTCCCCTTCCATATACGTCATAGTGAAACCTCGTCCATTTTCAAAAAGTCCCTTAAAACTCATCTGTTTAGGTCCGCCTATGACCTGTGATGCACCCTCCTTGCCCTACCTAATTTTCTGTTTCGGTTTAATCCTGAAGTGTCAAAGTGTCCTCTTTTTATAGCCATTTTCATTGTTTCTATAGAATAGTAGTTACTATCCTAGTGTCCCATTTGTATTTACTTAGTTTACATGTTTTAATAATTGTAAAGCGCTTAGAGCTTTATGATAAGCGCTATATAAAAATGCCTAAATAAATAAATAAATAAATAAATACGATAAAGGCAAAATTAAAAAATATATCTGAATTATGATAGGGCCTTACTTATTTGTAACTTATAATTTAAGTTGAAGTATTATTATTATCAATTAGAAATACATTTAAAATGACAGTAGGAGAACTATTTTAAGTAGGCCTAAGCCATTCTAATTGATTCTATCCGAAATAGAAAGTTAATGTATTATTATTTTTATTTGCAATAAATGATCACGTATTTTGATACTGTTACTCTGTTTAATCCTTAATCAAAATGGAATACCAATCTGGTTGTCCTCATTGATCATTGATGATATTGCAAAATTTCTTTTTTAATTTATGCTACACAAATTTATTATTGCATTCAATCAATT